TTCTGTGACTGTCCTACTTCGGCTGTTCATGCTCCTACATGGGACACTCATGCACTATGTGACAAACGAACACCCCGCCTCAGAAATTTCTTACGGATTTCGTGCTTACTGTCGATTACTTGAAACTGTCAGGGACTTTCGTCTCCATTCCTGGGTCTTTTACCTGACAGTAGGCTTCCTTGCTACTCGGCCTGCACTCAGCGTCTAGTCTCCAGGTCCTCACGAACTTGCAGGCAGGTAGGTTGTTGCTCAGTCACACTTGCTCACCATGACTCTCACTGCCCAGCGCAGCGGCCGTTTTTTTGGATAGCTCGTGGCCGAGTGGCGCGCCGAGTACCTGGAGCCCCTGCTGCGCGGGCGGGAGGGACCAGTCGCCAACCCAGACGGACTCCTTGTTTTTAGATTTTTTAGCTGCTTGGCAGCCAGGCGAGGTATGCATGGGTTGTGCCCAGTCCGAACAAAGGCAGGCAATCCATGTGACTGCTGCGGCAGCACCCTCCAGTGGGGGCGCGGAGGCCCTCGGCTGCCTCCGGTCAGTGAAGGGGTCCTACGGAGCCTGCGAGGCCCTGCTCCTCCAGCTTGATGCCTGAACACAGTCTTCGGACGGCGCGGCTTGCCTGGCGGTGTGGTGGACTCGGCCTGCGTTCTGCATGTGCAGACCGTCCCGCTGCGCACTGGGCTTCCTGGTATGGAACTTTTCCCGTCGTCCAGGCTCGGGCACCCGGGGTGCTGAACGCTTGCTCAGTGCCCTCGATGGCAGAATCCATTGCTCTCTGCCGCCGCTGCCAACAGCGCGCAGGAGTGCCTTTGCGAACTTGTTTTCGCAGCGCCTGTGAGGCCAGCCGTCCTTGACGTCGCGGCAGCGCCCAAAGCACGAGAGGGGGGGGCTGACCCGGGCAATGCCTTGCAGGGCTGGCAGCGGCGAGCCGCCCGAGCGTGCGATGAGTGCGCGTCGGAGAAGACGCACCTTTCTGACCTTCCACCTGCGTCCCGCGCGCGGCTGCTCTCGCCAGCAGGGCCTCGTTCTGCTCGTCGTGCTTTCACCGTCTCGCCCACCCACGAGGCCGTGCGCATAGTGCCTAGTTCTGTGTCCTGCTACTCCGCGCTGCCGCCTTGTCGTCATCGGGCTTGAGGTTTGGGGGTGCTTCGGCGCTGAAGCAGCCACCTTCCTGCGCCTGCGTGCGCCCCACCGGGCTGCGACCGTCCCGGCGCACTTGCGACCCACGGCCCGGGCAGCGTGGGTCCCGCTGGACTGCGCTGCTCGCAGTCGCGGGCAGCGCTCCTTCGCCAGATTCGTTAGCTCCCTCCTTGAGCTGCGCCTTGCGGGCGAGGACAATGGCGACGACAGCGAGCCCGAGCTTCATGAGCTCCTCGCTGACGGGCGCTGGGAAGGGCCGGTCGCCGCAAGCCGCCTCCCTGCCCGCTGACTCCCCCCCCGGTGACCCCACATTCCGGCAGGCGGAGAAAAGGTCCGAGAAAAAAGGACAGAGCATCGAAAAAAGTGTCTTTCTTGCGGTCAGCAACTACAAAACAAATGAATCAACCGGCGCGGGGGAAAAATAAGAGTTTGTTTTGCACCTCCATGCACGCTGCATTTTGGTGGGGGATTCCAACGTGTACTTGCCTGAGATCATGGGTTGTGGGAGCGAACGATCATGAACATTGCAAATGCCTGAGTTGCAGAAACCAGCGCGCGGATTGTGGTCGCGTAATTCCGAATCTGGGTGACTTTGTCCGCAATCTTGTGGTACATGAGGGTCAAAGTCAGATTGCTGTTAGCTACCCGTAGTGACCACAAGCTCAAAAAAAATCTTTTTTTTTAATCTTTGCATTGTCCGCCGCCGAGTGTGGAAGTTGCTACACGTGTGCGTGCGTTTTTGCCCCATGTTTCCGCATTGGAGGAATGTTTGGTCACACCGCCTGCAGTGGTACATGCCGTTATTGACCACTTCTCGGATGATGCCCTGCTGGTTGTTTTTTCCCAGTGGAGGGTCAACGCTCCTGCCGCTACTGCCACGCAAGTGCCGCGCACATGAGCTGAGGGTTTGGAACCCAGGAGCAGTACTTGACACGTTTTGTGCCGTTGTCTAGCTATTTGAGTTTTGACGCCGACGGATGTTTGACTTCCTGTGTTATCGTAAAAAGGCGCGAAGGAAATTTTTTTCTCGGGTCCCAGCCGACGATCGGCGCCGCTTGGATCTCATCGTCTACGGCGCCACCCCACTGGGTCTCGCCTTATGTTGAGATGCAACCCTCGTGTCCCCGCTTGCGCGCACAAGTCTCCCACAGCCTTGCGCGGCGGAGACCGATGGGGCGGCGCTTCGGGTGGCGGAGAGACGCAAGCGGGCAGCCTACCCAGAACTCGCAAGGGGCGGCCCGCAGAGGCTGGTCGTGCTCGGGGCCGAAGTGGGAGGCCGCTGGAATGGAGGCGCGCTGCGGTTCGTCCGAGATCTGCTCCGTTTGCGCGCGTGCCGCGCGCCCCCCACAGTTCGGCAAGCAGCGGCAGCGGGCTGGGCGAGAAGGTGGTGGAGCGTGCTGTCGGTCGCTGTGCAAGCGGCCGTCGGCACCACTGCCCTTGGCCAGGCGCCCTGCGTCTCGGCAGGCTCGGACTTCACGCCGCTGCCGCGGGACCGAATCCTGGAGCCGGGCGTAACAGCGGCAACTAGCCGCCTGCCCATGCGGCCTTGAGACCACGAGTCGGCGTCGAAGAAAAAAAAAAAAATTACGAAAGTGACTGACCGTTAGGGCCACTGCTGCTGCTTTTCTGTTTCCACGGGGGGCCAGGGCCCGCAGTGGGGTTCCGCGGTGGAGTGGCATCATCTCCGTTGTGGCGCAGCATGTCCTCGAGCTTCCCATGCCATCGGAGCCTGGCCCACCTGAGGCGAGGCCCCAGTGCCCAACCACCTGCCAGGCCGTCGGTAATTTGTTCCCGCAAGAAGGCGAGGAAAAACAAATATTTATGATCGACGTTGTTCGGTGACTGTCGTTGTTGGGCGACAAGTGATGCTGTTCATGAATTTGGATTTTCAAATGTTGGCCCGACCGTTGTGTCGCTGTGCGGCTCAAGGAGGACACGGCAGTAGAACTGCCCAAGCTTATGACATTTGGTGTACCCTTCACCGACCATGCATCTACGTCGAATATCAAACCGTGAGAATGAGAGCAAAAGAAGATAGAGTAGGGCATGAGATCCATGCATGGTGGGACTGGTGCCAAACTCAGTCGTCCAGTGTGTCAGTAATCCGTTCGCGTGCGGGCGCGTGCGCGTGCGCGTGAACCGTTTCAGCTTGTGCAGTGTACGGTGGAGATGGGCGTACGTGCGACATGTCAGCAATATGTTGACGACAGTGCATGTTGTGCCGTTTTGTATCAGCCACCAGCGTTCCTGCCCTGTCTCTGGGCGCCTCAGGTCATGGTTCATTACGATTTCCGACACAACTTTCACAGCATTTAGCAGTTTTCTTTGGAACATCCCGTGACATGAAAACATGCATTCGCAACAGCAGATTCGATAGCCATGTGGTTCCATGTGTGCGTTCAAGCCATGTGCATCAGTGAGCAAGGCGGCTGCGGCCTGCGTTTGTATGTATTTGTTTGGGCAAAGACTCTGGCCAGCTCGCTGTGCAGGTTGGCAGACCTTCTGCAGATCTTGCTCCGAAGACTTTCTTGAACGATGCTGCTGAGTGTGCACATTCACGACGACGACCGTCGCAAACATCCGTGGCATCACTAAATGTGCAGCAGGACCACGCGTTTTATGCCTTGGCCTGTCGCTTGCAAGGTGCCTGGACATCGTTCACCGTTGAAGAATGCGAAGGTAGCTGTGTCGCACAGTGGTTCCAGCTCCCGTGGCCTGTCGGAAAGTTGGTTCTACTTCTGCGGGGTCATGCTTCTGCCCGTGCGATCCCGTGCGATCGTGCGAATGCATCATTTCGAGGATTGCGTGCTTCGTCCGCTCCAAAAGCGTCAGGGAGCCGTGAGGCATCACAACATGTCACGCTTGAAGAAGAAAGTGAACCAGTGCATGCCGTTGGCCATGAACGTGCCCCGAGTTGTGGCGCTCGTAGGCAGCAGGCCCTTCGGCCCAGCAGCTGGCAGGCCGGGAATTTCATCATTTTTTCCAAATCCAGTTGTTTATCAGATATTATTAATCATGACTTGATGTCGATGCGCAGAGGCCGCAGGCGGGCCTCCAACACCCATGCGTCGGTCATAGCGCAGGCTTTGAAACCAGCATTGTTGCAAGTAGTGCCTGGGCCGCCTGGGCTTCGATGTGTTCTCGCATGTGCAAGTGGCATGCGGCGTGTTTCTGTTGTTGTATTTGCCGATCGAGGATCCACAGCCACCTCGCAAAGAATGCATGTCGACATCGTACTTTTCGCCGGTTGCTGTGCGAAATAGGTGCTTGCACAGAAAAGCATTGAAGTATGATCCGGCGCGGCACATGAGGCTTCGACGTCAGAGCCGACGTCGCCGACAAGTGGCCCCAGGGCTGCAGCGTCGGATTGTCCAGCTGCTAAGGCTGTACTTTGTGCTTTGCACCGGGCAGATCCGGGCAAAAATAATGCAACTTTAGAGGTTCACAGTAGATGCGGGTATATGTATGCAAGCATGTGTCAACGGTGAGATTGTGCAATTGTACGTTTCTTACGGCTCTGACCTGGCAGGATGAACTGGCAGCCATGCGCTTGCGCTTTGAGGCACAAGACACATGCCATGCCGTCCCATTCCAGATGTGTGTTTACAGATGTTTGCTGGTTGAGAGGCCCAAATGACACAAAACAACGCAAACAGTCATACAACACAAGCAAAATGCAAGCAGGAGCAGCGTGGCATCGTGTGCCAGGGGTGGCCCGCAGTCTTCTGCTTTGTTAGGAAAAAGTCACCACCTTGTTCAAGTGATTTCAGTTTGTGTTCCGTTCAGCAAGCGAAGTTGTTGCTAGGACTGCTAAGAGCATTTTCCGACAGCATTGTGTGATCAGCGGACATGGATTGGCCTCATGCTCACGACCAAGAACTATTCTTATTTGGCAGTTCAGCTCGGAAAGATTGGCAACCGCTGGGCCAGACGAGTGCAACAGCAAGCTTTGCATCAGCTGAGTGAGATCGCCAACGAAACCAATGGGTTTGATGCGGAAAGAAGCAAGTCCGACGGAGATCCTTGGACTTCGGGGCCCTCGAGGCCTTCGTCGCCTTCGAGCCCTTTGCCACTGTCAAGGCCCAACATGCAGGCAATGCAGTCTTCAGATGTCGTGCCCCGTCGGCCGGCAAGGTCTGCTGAAAGCTTGTTTCCTAACTGGGAGATTGGTGTTCAGGCTTTGGCTTCTGTCGTGAGTTTGCAGCTTCGCTTTGCGCTACGGCGCTGGGAAACATTTGTTCGACGGAAACGGTTCGACGAGCTGCAAAGCAAGGTGGTGTTGACGTTGCAGACGGTCTCTGCGCCGTCAGTCGCGAGTCCAAAGACGTCGGACACGGCCGGGCCAAGTGCGGTCACCAATCACAGGCATGAGCCCGAAACTGGTCGCACAACAGGTCCTGACGTGGAGGCTTTGGCCAAAAGTGAATCCACATCCCCCCTGGGTCGCCCAACGTTCGACATCAACGTCGCAGAGTCATCGAAGCATGCGATTGAGAACCCAGGACCGGAAGCCAAGACTTCCGATCAAGACTTCGTAAGGTCACTGTCTGATGACCAGTCCCGCGTCGACGAAATCATTAAGCTTGCAGCGTTGCTGTGGGAGTCAGGAACTTTGGTACACGTGCAGCCCATGGCACTTCTGAGAGCATCATTGCTGGCTCGTGTCGCCGAACGTTGCCAAAAGCACGTGATGCGTGAAGCCATGCAATGCTTTTGGAAGCGCTGTTCCTTACAACGATCTGTGGAAGAATGGCTTGCCAACGGTAACTTCGTCAAGCGGCAGGATGAGGCAGTCACCCAGATGCCAACAAGTTTCCACACCGCTCCCCACGAATCAGCCGAAGTCCCCCTTGCCTTCGGCGACAAGGATGTGAGTGAGCCATCTGAATCATTCGAGCCGGCAAGCAGTGATCACAAGCCGGGACCTGTACTGGATGGGCATCAGGTAGACATGGACACGCGCAAGTTGGACTTGCACACAGTTGTCACTCAGCCTTCTGATCCTTCTGCCAAGCCTAAGCCCGCAGACTTCTCCCATGAGATTTTACATCCACGTGACAAGGTGGAAAGTCCCCCTGTCCATGAAAATGAACAGCTTGCCCGCGACCAGTCGGAGGCAGATCTTTTGCCAGAAGTTCAATCCGGCACTTCTGGTGAGGAGTCAGAAATAAATGACGACGACTTAGCTGATCTGTTAGGTTGAGCTGTCTGTTATGTGGGCTTTGAAAGCAAAGCCCCGTCAATTCGTGCATTCTTTTGTAAAACTTGGGCCGATGCTCCGTTCATGCGCGCACCTGAGATGCAAGCGCGGCGGATGTTGATCTACCTGTGTTAATGTACATGGTCGGGACAGCGGTACAGGAATCCAAAAATGGACGGAAGCTGCCACGCCAGCAAGGAATGCTGCTCTATGAAGGCTTGCGAGAGTGGACTTTTGCCCGAGTGCTTTTGTGCGAGTGCTTGCTTGTGCGGGAGGCCCGGGAATCCGAGCTGCTGCAGGAAGTAGCTGAGCTCCGCGGAGCACTGGCGACCGCTCGCATTGCCCAAGCCGCGGCTGAGGCATCGGTCATGGAACTTCGAGGCCGCTCTTCGCAATCTCGGGGGGAGGGTGGGGAGATCTTATGATCCCATACAGTTGTCCATGTTTTTCCAGGAAGTTTGCGGGATGACCGCAGTTTGTCGCTTGGTTTTGCTCGATGGTATCACATCATTCTTGGAGCCGGAAAAAAATGCCTGCTGAGTGCTGCTCTACGGCCCTTCGACGTTGATCGCTGGCTGCAGAATAGGAGCCTTCGCTGTTTTCAATCACTTCCGGGCAGGTGGGCAGTCGAAGCAGCTACGCGAGATGGAATCGGATGGAAACAGCATGTCAAGAGAGACAGATGCCGCCATCGACCGTCATTCTGAAGAGCTTCTACAGCTGATGCTTGTTTATATTGTCGGCATGACCGCAGTTTGCTTGTTAATTTCGTCACCCATCGCAAGGAATCCATTCGCTAAGGAAGCGCCAAATCTCCTTGCTCCAGCAAGACATCACGGAGCGTGCTCTTGAAAACGAGCGGAGGCTTGCTGAGCAGCGGTCGTTGCTTGAAGCTCAACTGGCCAGCCAGCAAGAACAGTTCAGAAATGAATGCGAACGGATATGGAGAGCAATGGCCCGTGCCAATGTTGCTTCGGGTCCTGCCGACGGCGAGGGCCCTGCATCGAGTCCTGGTGCTTCGCGATTGCCCGATCCGAGCACAAATGCCGTGCTGAGACAGATATACACAGCAGTGTCTGAGTTACCATGATCCGAAATGCAGGCAAAAAAAGGCACCGAATTGGCCGCTGTATTTGGAGAGAGAGAGTGAAAGAGTCTGCTGCATTCCTGCTTCATTGTTTGGACATGTTTGAACATGCCTGGACATGTTTTCCACTCTGCATGTGTCCGAGACGCCGCTAAGGGCAGATGCAGAATCCTGCCCGTCACGGAGCGGACCCAGGCAGCGATTGCATGATCGGCAAGAATGTTTTCATTGCGTGTGCTTCCGCCAGGCTCCAGAGCCACGGCGCTCCATGTACAGGTGCAGCAAGACTCACGTTGTGTTTGGACAGCTGCCAGCTGTTAACATGGGCAGGCCTCGCTCGCGCAGATCGCGGGAGCGGCTATGGCCAGTGGCAGCCGCTGGCAGACGATTCAGCCAGACAATTCCATAGTGCTCGGTGTTGGGCAGACAGTGACAGAGGTGGAAGTGTCGAGCACTGGATATCTTACCATTTTCGCAACAGCAGGCATGTAACACCTCAAAGGCCAACGACACATCGATTGTTTTTACACAAATTGACTTCCGTTTCAGACTTGAGCTTGCAATTTCTATGTTATTGCAAGCGTGAGCTGAGGTTCTCGCTTTACACTGCCCTCACGAAGGCATTGGCGTGGAGACATGTCACAGTTCAAGTGCAAGGGCGGAGCACGGCCAGAACTTTCCGCTTGTTTTCTTGGAGGGTGCTTTCGCCAGCGGCAGCAGTCCGCATACGGAGTGCGAACCTGAGAGAGTTGAACACAAGAGGCTCTTGACCTCCATGCCCTTTCTGTTCAACTGCAACTCGGAGCCGTTTCGGACCAAAGCAGTTGAATACCGATCATCATTTAAACCTCAAGCCTCAAGCCTCGTGAGCTGTGATAGCCCATACGACATCCCTGCCTACGCCGACTCTACGCTACTTGAGCCCAGACAAGCTGCCAAAATGCCTTCTGCCACTCCGAGGCCTCGGCCCTCCGAGGAATTCAGTCCTTGCCACAAGCTTCGCACTTTGTGGAGTGGCCGGCGTCATCTACAGGCCACTCAACAGGCCAAGCCATAAAACCAGGTTTTTCATGGTTTTCAGAACGTTTTTGGAATCTTCTCTTGTTCCATGCGAAGGCACGAGAAGCAGCCTAGGCATGCGTGTGTATGCTTGTCCTGTCGAAACGCCCTGCAATCTGAGGCTATTGATGTTGCAGTTGCACTTGTCTTGTTCTTTTTTGAAGTGATGGCGTGGCTTGTTGAAAGATGGACAGCCTGTGTGGTCGGTTGGCGTTTCTACCACAAGATCGTGAGCTATCTCCTTTTCAAGCTGTACTACCGTGAGGTGACGATAGTGGACCCGCACAGCGTGCTCAAGTCGCACGCGCATGATCGCTTGATCTTCTGTTCGAACCACCCAACCGGCCTTCTCGACAGACTTCTGATACAGCACATCTCACCTCAGCCTTGCTTCTGTCTGACGCAGAACTGGTTTGCGCACCTCGCTGGCAATGCTGGCAGCACGTGTGCAGCATGTGTGCAAGGTGAGAGGCACAGTCGTGGGCCATGATTGCCCAATCGCCAAGTTTGCAGAAACCAGCAAGAACCAATTGCACGGGGTCCTCGTGAGAACTAGGTGTTGTAGGCTTGGAACTTGTAAGAAATCTGCGGGGGGGGTGGGCCGAGTCGCAGGATGATTTGCAGAGGTTCCTTGACCGTCAGAGGGTGACATCATGTGATACCCGGACCCAGGCTTGCTTGGCAGTGTCAAGCGTCTCAATCTAAGGTACACAAACTATGTGGAGATGTGCCTGCATGTCGTCCAAGGGCTCTCTTTTGCGAAAATTGTCGAATGCTTAGACTCTGGCAATGCAATTTGGATTGCTGTCGGCGGGGCTCGCGAAATGAACCCATACATAAGAAAGGTTCACACAGGAGCCGCGCGAATAGCTCTGCAGGCAGCACGGCCTGGATGTGAGGTGTTGCTTGTTCCACTTCATATGGCCTTCGAAGCACACTGCCAGTTCAACTCAGCTGTGCTGGTCGAGCTTGGGAAGCCGGTTCATGTTGTCCAGGGGCTTGACCCCGACTCTGTGCAAGGGCGAGAAGAGGTGCACCACCTGATGGCAGCTTTACGAGAGAACTTGCTTCCTCTGACGAATTGGATCCCAGCAAGTCTGGATGTCGACTATGGCAAGAAGGGAACCAGAGGAGTTGGGCAAACACGATTGGCCGTTTCCGAGTGGTACCAGATAAGAATCATCGACACGCTTGTTTGCTTGCATGCTTGGTCGCTTGACTTTGGTGCGCTTCCTTGGCCGGTGCGTGTACAACAAGTGAGAGCAGTGGCTCAGCATCTCAGTCAGCAGGAGAGCAGCAAGACTTCCAAGGGTTGCAAGGACCACCAGCGCTTCCAGCAAGCAAGGAATGCCTTCGGAAACTTCGCGGCTTGTGTGCAACAAGAGGGCAACCTTTTCTGCGGCGCAACAGGAACTTATTGGGACATGCCCGTATCACTCAAGGCCATTCCTCGCAGAAATCCTTCTGAAGTACCCAACTTGACCCTTGCTGCCTTGCGCAATTTTTGTGATGGACCGCTTCGATATGCTAAACGCAGCAAATCTGGTGTGCACAACTTGCCGGCTTTCTGCGCGGACAGTTTCGAAGTCCTTGTAGCTGAGGCTACGCGGTTTGTCGATTCGCTAGCATTGGCTGGGAGCAAAAGGATGTCTGTCCTCCTAGTGAGAAAGTATGATCTTTTGGCATCCTGTGGTATCTTGTGGCTTTGTTTCAAGAGAGGGGTGACTAGAAACTAGCCCGAATTAACCCGGGCGCGAAATTAGTTGGGTTGTTCTTTGATCCCTCGCAGTGGTATATTAATATAGGCTGAAGCATCTGTGTAGCCGTTGCCAATGTTTTGATGAAAGGGCTGTGCATGTTAAGCAATCTTGTGGGGCGGTCTAGGGTGCTCTTGATAAGGCTAACGCCGTGAGCCATGCCTGGAGAAACAAGTCGAAGCGAGTCCAGCGAGTCAAGTCGAAACAATGCCAGTGGGATCTTCTTCTCAGGTCCGCAGCTGCCCAGTTCGCGAGACAGCCCGCGCTGGCAAGTTGGGCCCACGCCTACCTCCATGGCGGCGGCGGCTGCAAGCGTGGCACTTGATGCGAATCCGTTCTGCGCAGTGCAGGTAGGTAGATGACTTAGCCCGGGGGCCCGGCATATGTGATGTGTCAGGTGCATTCTCCACCAGCCCTACAAGCTCTCCCCACATCTGGAATGCAAATAGTTGCCAGCGCCCCAGCTTGCAGACCTTTGCGGCTGGATGGTGCTTGCTTGGTGCACGTTGCATGTTTGCGCAGGTGTTGCGGCCAGCCCCATGCGTGCGACTCTTGGCACTTGCTCCGCTCGATCCGTGTCTCCGCAGCGTGCGGCGTGGAGCATGACACTTCCTGCCCCTTCCATGAGAGCCACGTCTCCGATGTCTCCTGGCAGAGCTGCTCGACCTCTTGCGCAAGGTGTGGTGCAACCTGTGCCTCAGTTGATCTGCCGGGACTCGGCTACTCCCCAAAATCCAAATTTGTGTCCGGCCGGAGAAATGACTTGGATTTTCCGGGCTTGCTGAGATCGACTTTTTATGTATTGCATGTTATTGGTGGAGATGTCAGGCAAATTTCAGGAAGGGCAAAGGAACTCCTGCACAGGTGCAATATGTAGCGCAAGCTCCCGCGCACCCTGGACACGCTGGTGGACACCCCGGTGGACACCCTGGTGGACGCCCTGGTGGACACCCTGCTGGACAGCCTGGCGCACACCCTGGTGGACACCCTGGTGCACACCCTGGGGCACACCTTGGTGGACACAGTGGACACCCTGGGCAAACTGTGTGGACAACCCATGTCCCAGCTCATGCCCCAGCGCCGCACAGGCTCGGAGGGTCAAAGACATCTGCCAGTCTCAACGACGGACCGGCGATCCCCCCTTGCTCCAGGCCAACGTCGGTTGGCATAGCTTTTCCCGGTGTCGCTCTCGCCGACAGTCACCCAAGGCTGGGCAGCTTCAATCCCCCAAGGCCTACCTGGACCTACCTCTTGTCTTGCAATTGTGGCTGCTCACACCCACACCGTCTCTGAAAACAAGTAGCTGTCAGGATTGTCTTGAGAAAACTCTGCGCGATTGTTCAAATTCCCGATCTTCATCTTTCCTACAGAGTTTAGGAGCATATGGAGCTTCGAGCCTTTAACGACATTTGCCTACCCTGGAGATCCTTGTGGTCCTTAGTGGTCTGCAAGTTCCAGGGAGCCGAAATGCTAGGCGAAGATTTCGAACATGACTGTTTGATAGATGCGAAAGTGCTTGCCAGCCATGTCGCGGCGGGCTGCTTGGACCGGCATCATGCTATGTTTAATGGTGTCACTGCAGCCGCCCTTTGCGCGAGTGCGCCGGAGGAAGCTGACACTTCAACTCAGAAAGAAGCAGGTAGCCAAGCCATCCATCAGCATGGATCGTCCGCTCCTCCCATGGAATGCAGCCATGTCAGATGGTGCTGTCACACCAAATGTTGAGAACGTGGGCAACCTCGCAAAGCAGGCTACCATTGATGCATTGTCCTCCGCAGCAGGGGAAGCAGCCGCTCAGCAATTGATGCTGGGGCCTGGTGTCGCCTTGGCTCCGAGTTCCCAGACTGTCAGTGCTGTCGAGCAACAAGGTGTTGCACCTGTTCAAGGGGTGCTCTCGCAAAAGGCATGCCACAGCCTCCGTACCTTCGTGTTGGATGAGCTGCCTAAAGCGTGCCGGGCAGCTCGAGCCCAGCCGTCACAGAAGTTTTCCTTGTTCTCGCGGGACATCAGGGAAACACAGGCATCAACAACTGCACCGGAAACCCGTTTCGAGTTGCAATTGCCACGCACAGACATCACCGAATCCGCCCTCGTCGAACTGCTGCAAGGCCGGCCGGCAGCATCGCGTTGAAACTGTTTAGGTTGCCAGATCTAGCACATGCCTGACAAAGTACTACTACCGCAAGCCTGGAACCAAGTGAAACACTTTCATTCCGAATCCTTCCTATGAACTCCTTCTCCCGCTTTGCTGCGATGTCGACAGGTGAGGTGGGCAAAGCCCTTGAGGCTCTGGCAGGCGGCGCTGGTGCGAGCCTCTGGGAGTTCACGGCCATGGCAGCTTGGATGTTGATGTATTTTGATGCTTACTCCCCGCCCTTGGTGTGGGGTTGTTATCCCACATCGGTTAGCTGTAGTGGGGATGATCAAAGTAAGTAATTTGCTGGCGGTTTGCTGGTGTTGCAAATTTAGCTGAGGTTGCCATGCCGGGTGCCATTCCGCAACGCTTGCACTGTGACACCGGGTCACCGTTACCAGCCTTGTTTACTGCGTTCGTGGCTTTGCAAGATGTGGCCGACAACATGGGACCAACACGGTTCCTCTTGCAAACGCATAGTCAGACAGCGCACAGACGCTTCTCTGCAGACAAGACTTCCTTTCTCAACCAGGCTGTCTCGAGGATCGCGCTGTTGCGCGCAGGAGATGCCGTCGTTTATGATAGTCGGGTGTTGCACTGTGGCACAGAGAACAGCTCTGACAAGCCTCGGGTGCTGCTTGTGTTGACTGTTCGACACACAGACGATGTCTCTGTCGATCCTGCAACGCAAAGGACGCAGAGGGCGTATCCTTCCCAGACAAAGGTTCTGGCAGACTTCACTCCGTGCAAGAAAGGTTTCTGGATCTGGTAGATCATTAGGGGCATACCACCACTACCTCACTACCATCTCGCAGCTGCGCATAGCTGCGGCCCGTGGTTTGTTGTTTCATATGTTAAGGCATCGGGTTGCATCCTCGAGTCCATCACGTACTGTGCGCACTGTCTCACCAGTGCAGGGCACAACTGTCGGACACGGATTGAAGCTCTGGCAGCAATTGAAGCGGGACCTACTGTAGACTTTGGTTGTGTGTGTGTGTGTGTGTGATGAACACTTCTTTCGAGTCTAGTTGCCTTGTGGCCTGAGGTCCACAGCAGCCCCGATTGTGCGGCACGTGGAAGGTGCATGGCCAATGTGCAATCAGGGCAACGTGGGATACCCGAAGGCAGTGCCACAAGCTTCGGCAAGAGAGTGTGCTCGAGGAAGCCCTGTTGCTTGTGGGACGCCTGTGGAGAGGAGTCGAGTCTTGGAGAGAGGCCTGGCGAGCCCCATTTTGGATGGGTCGAACCGACACAGCCCTTCACGTCTTCATGGGGTGAGCCTAGACAGTCAAGCCGTGCGGGAACAGGCGGACAGGTCCAGTCGTTCCCCGGTTCGCGTTGTTGCGGGCCCGCCGATGACAGGGCCAAGCTGCAAAGTTGACCTTGCGGAGACTGCGCGTGCTGCTGTGTCTCCAAATCTCCAGGCTTCGGCATCGGGTGGCACAGGTGACTATTCACAATCCATAGACACGAGATGGAACACCAAGTCTCCAAGTGGTAGCCTGCAAAGCCTTCCGGTTGCAAGTGGCTCTTGCAAGCTAATTGGGCAAGGGGCTCCTTGCCCTGACCCATTCCTGTCCACAGGACCATCCGCAGCTCCTTTGTCGTCCATGGCACGTACACCTGATCCTCCCGGTGACGGAAGGGATGGTCGGAATGGTAGCTGGTCAGGCTTGGATTCCCGTCAGAGCTTGACATCATCTTTCAGGGACAGCAGCAGCCCGCCGCACATGCCACACTTTGGTTCGGCCAAGCTGCTCCATTCATTTCATTCTAGCCTGACCTCCTCCAACAGCTCCGGCAAGCGACGGCCCCTTTCACCAGGGACCGCGGCAACTACCTGTGTAGTGCTGCCGCCCAGTCCCGAGAGCGACCCCCGCCATCTCGAAACACTGGGGGCCCCTTTATCAGAGGCTTTGGATGTCCATGAGGTTCCTGGCAAGTCTCAGATCAATGCCACCCTGTTCGAGCTGTTTTGCATCCCAGTCTCTGAGCAATCGGTTGCAGAGCACATCAGTCAGGAGATCGCAACCTACCCAGAGACTCTCTGGGACGATTTGGTTCTCGTGCGCCCAGTGCAGGCGCTTGCATGTGCAGTGGCTCGTTCCGTATCCAGCTCGGGGCAGGCTAAGGATGAAGCCCTTTTCAAAGCACATCTCGGCGACGAGGAGGCTTATGGAGGTTGGTGGAGGTCAGTTCTTGCCCGGTACGGGTTGTACAGCTCGGGCGATACAATCTCACCTGGGGAAGTTGCAGATCTGATAACAACAGCGTGTCGGGCTCTGCGGGACCATTTTGCTCCGTCCAAATACTTACGGAATCTTCGTACAGTGCGGTCCGGAGCCAAGCGAGTGCAAGATCGAACTGTGGCTGCAACCTCAGCAGCATTTTCACAAGCCAAAGGAGTTTTGATGTTGTACTGCATGTGGCGTAGCGCCTGTTGCTAACTGAGACGAATTAACGCAGGCTATGACAGCTTCCGATGCCTGTCCAGCTCGTCGTTCGCAAGGTCGTACCGTTGCCGGAGCCGTGGCTTGGCTTTTGAACAGCTGATGCCGTGGATTCGCAGCTTGGAATTCTTCGATCCATGCAGCCCGTGGGCGATTGAGGCTTGAGCTTTGAGGATCGTTTGTGCAGCCAGACGCGGAAAGGCAAGCTTGCATCATGTCCGGCAGCGTCCAAGCAGCAGAATTTTTGGAGCCGTCCAGCAGGAAGATTCGAAAGTTGTGGGTCCAGCCTTTTCTGTCAGAACTCCCTCCTAAGGACCAGCTTCGAGTTGAAGTGGAAGTGTTGAGAAGCTTGCAGCATCCACATCTTCCCCGCATAGTGGAGAGCTTCGAGGCAGGTGCTTCTGAACTGACAATGCCTTGCCAGTCCCGACCCAACCTACCACAATTTATTAGCTTCCTGATGGTCTGTTGAAACATGGCACTGGCACGGGCTCGGAGACGCACAGTGAGGTGAAAGGCACAGGGACAGGGAGAGCTGCAGGCCGATGCCCACAGCTCGAAAGCAGCAAAAGCAATATTAGAACCGCTGAAGTGTATACCTGCCATTTTCGAAGCCATGTGCTGTCTGCACCTCTGAGAGATGCAAGCCACCATCTGCCATCCCCACAATCTTACAGTAGCCCCTCCAAAATTCAAAGACTCGGCTGTGCCGGGCTTCGATGTCAAGCCTGAACCTCAACTTTGGAATCTTCCGGTTGGTTTCGGCTTCATTCGCTTTCGAATCTGAGGTTGTTCCAATCGTCGCTCGGATCCAGTATTCTCGGTAGTATAACATGTGGACTGTGGTCAGGAAGCGATTCCGCTTGACTCTGCTGCGTTGTACACTTTCGTGCTTGGCAACTGCTGTTCATATACCGGAGCAGGATTTCAACGACATCTACATCATTTCAGAAATTGTGGACAGCATGCGGCTCCTGCAATTTATGCAGACGCGTCTGGAGATGCGTGCTGGAGTCAGTGAGGGCTGGCTCGCGCAGGCCTCCGGCATCGTGTTGTGTACAGGTTCCCCAATTTTTCCAGAGCCTCATTCAAGCCTGGCAGGTGTTCAGGCAGATTCTGGAGACCCTAGCATACTGCCACCAGGCGAGGAAGAGTGAGGGCTTGCAGAGAGCTTGTGCTATCAAACTCTCGAACTTACTTCGTAGAGCCAAGTTCTCGAACCGTGGCTCAACATGTACTCAATGAAACTCTCAAGGCAGAAGACTTCCAACATCTTCCAACCATGTGCGTCTCAGTTGAAGCCTCACAGCATTGTGCACGGTGACATCGGCTTGGACACAGTGGGCCTGGCAGCTGTGTCGGATGCCGCTCATTCACCACATGTCGCTTGTCTTTGTACTGTAGGCTTTCAGCTCCCGGCCCTCGTCCCACTATGTCCCATGCTACCTCTGAGAGGTTGCCGAGATGCTGAGGTTGTGATTTCGGACTTGGGCATCGCCGGCACGATTCCCTCACCCACGCCGGCTTCGGAGGATTCAAGAAAACTGTCCTTGACCTCGCGCCGCTCAGAATTCGGCGAAGAATCGTGCAGCCCGAAGCACCGCAGCAGTTGGCAAATAGCTGGCCTTTTGCAACCGTGGCACACTATGGCACAGGTGAGCATGGGTAGTGCAAAATATAGATATTGTAGATGGGACTTGAAATGCAAAGGAAGCACGACGTCTGGTGCTGCGGCTGCCTTCTATACTTGCTGCTTACGGGGCATGTTCCCGGGGATGCATTCTTCGGGGATGCCTTCCGGCGGACGGCAAGCCCAGATTGGACTCTCGTCCGCCATGCCTCCGCGCAAGCAGAAGCGCTCTGCTCACGGATGCTGGAGAGAAGCCTGGCTTTCAGCAATGACCCCACAGAGAAAGAAATTCATCGTATCCGTTCATATTCGTTCCCCAAACCCTGGGTGTGGGGTTGTTAGATGTCAAGTATTGTCAAGTCAACCAATTTCCTCAGTTAATGGAGCCTGGAGGGCCGACCCGCTTGGAGTCTCCACCCCCAGACAATCCCGCCATTCTGGGGTGCCCACCGGAGAAGCCTGCAAAGAGTTCTGCAGTATCCCTGGTGTGCCCACCCCCAAAGAAGCCCGTCCGCGATGGCAGCGAGTCCCGCCGCTTGTCCATGGGGTGCCCAACCTCGAGAAGCTCGCAGAGAGCTGTGCGGCCTCGGAGAAGCCCGCAAAGAGTCCTGCCGAGTCTTCCTGGAGTGCCAGCCCCGCAGAGAAGCTCACAGAGAAGTCTGCCCAGTGTCTTCGAGTGTCCTTAGAGTGCCGCCAAACAATCCTCAAAGTCCGATTCAAAAATGCCTTTTCGCGCATACACCACACCAAATATCGAATACTCTCTCCAAACGACACAAACCTGAACGTGAAACGCCGGTCTCTGCATCAAAAACTTGCGATCAGAAGGAAAATTCTTTTTATCCCATGTATTTGGATCATCTGGTCGAACATCCACTCGACAAATCGGTCCACCTGTGTTGTTGTTCCATCAATCAACCTTTCTTTTGAACAATCTGAAGGTATGAATCGACTTCTTCGTTTTTGTTGAAAAGAACTGGCACTTCTCAGGAAAAAATCGGATTTGAATGTGACACCCCATTGATCACATTATCCAGCGTCCAAGACGCGGAGAAAAGAAAATGGTCCCGAAAAAAGAAATTTGACAAATTGTGGGAATTCATTATCAAAGAAAGACAGAGAATGTCTGGAACAACGGTGACAAAAAGTTGCGGCCAAAGTACCCTGAATTACCTGTCCCACGGCTTCGGGGTGGGGATGATTTAATTTCATGCTTCCATCTCTTGCCTACAGTTTGTTTGCAGACTGTGAGTTGCTGGGCGGGCAATGCGGGTGATTCAGGTGATCCGGCCCGCCGACCGACTTCGGCGGACTGCCTTTGCTATCCATGGCTGCAGTCCGGCAGCAAGTTCTGCTTCAAGATGATCCCGATGCAGATTCTGGAAAAACTTGCACAAGTTGAAAAGCAAAGCCAAGAATGCAAGGACCCGCACATACACTTGGTTTCTTTATTCTCCTAAACATTACGCATCGTCAAACTTAGTTTCGTGCACGTGCAGGAGGTAGTGGCCGACGTTGTGGCTGAGTTCCGCTTGAGATCGGTCTCGTGCGCGAGCACGATCTTTGCAAAACTTGCAATGCCCGCGCAAAGCTCGGCAGCTTGGCGGATTTCGTCCAGATTTTATTACCATGATTTTCCTTCTTATTCTCATTATGCATATAATAATAATATTGTATATATATATGTATATATATGTGTATATATGAATATATATATATATATATATATATATGTATATTTATATGTGGTTCAGCGTCGAGCGTCCTGGGCCCCCCCCCCCCCCCCCCCCCCCAACCCCCCCCCCCCCCAAGCCTACTCTACGGTCCCTAAACCCTAAACCCTAAACCCTAAACCCCTAAACCTAAACCCTAAACCCTAAACCCTAAAACCTAAACCCTAACCCTAAACCCTAAACCTTAAGTCTTAAACCTTAAACCCTAAACCCTAAAACCTTGAACCCTAAACCCTAACCCTAAAACCAACCCCCAACCACACCACAGGGGGGGGGGGGTCATCTTAGTACCCCATCCGCGGGGAAAAAAACCTAAACCCTAAACCCTAAACCCTAAAACCCTAAACCGTAACCCTAAACCCTAAACCCTAAAACCCTAAAACCCTAAACCCTAAACCCTAAACCCTAAACCCTAAAACCCTAAAAAAAACCAACCCCCAACCACCCACAGGGGGGGGGGGGGGGGGTACCATTGGGGGGGGGGGGGGTGGGGGGTAGGGGGGAGGGGGGGGGGGCCCGCCGGGGCTGAATCATATATATATATATATATATATATTTCCGGTTCCTGTTGGCATGCCCGACAATCCGCGACCTGAGCCAGGGTGCTACGTTGGAGACTGCGCAGCTGAAACTTGGAAGCAGGGTTGGAATTTTCAAGCTGAGCTGGTGATACATGAAACCGATCGGAAAACAAGACCAGTGTGTGTGACATCAAGCATTAGTTGGTATCCTCTTCGTCACAATTTTTGGTAACTTGCTCTGTAAGGAAGCCTTTTCTCTCCGCAGCTCCGCTGCTGCAGATGGGGATCTCCGTGCCCGCTGACGCCTAGGGCTTTGTGCAAGCACTTGTACTTTTGCTCGAGCAGGTACCCTGTGTCGAGAAGGTCATGCCGGGGCCCCGATGCAGCTGAGACTGTGAATGCTTGTGCGAGCTTGCTTGCGAGCTAGCGGAAGTTGTGAGCTATCGGAAGTGTGCAGGAGGGCGTTTGCCATCAACCCATCCGGCCTGATTGCGCACGGAAGCTTTGTGAAACGCCGTCGGCCCAGATGCCGTGGCATCTTGCGGCAAACTTGTGCACAAGTGCAAGCACGGACCGGTGGAGGATGCCTCGAACTGGCTGAAGATCAGCTGGCTCCAAGCTCATTCTGCCATTTGCTTTTGTGTAAGACTTGTGGTGGCAGCCGAGCTAAGTGAGGAGAGGAGTTGTTCAATATCCCACTTCGAGGATCGTGCTCTGTGGCGCCTTTTCGTTGCCGCCAAAGAGGCCTTGCAACACATCCCTCACGGTTTGTAGGAAGACCTTCTGAGCAGGATGAAGTTGGAATCCTGTCAGCCGGTCAGCTGGAAGAAGTTGGCTTCTCAGTTCGCTGTCGTGGTCAAGTAAGTTCCGAAACGAAGCGTAGCTTCAGAAAGAAACGCTCAGGTTCTTGACGGTGCTTTGTCACAAGATTTGGCTGGCCATGGCGAGGAGAAAAACTTGTTAGATTGGTACTGGCACGCTCGAATGAGCACATGTCGTGCTGTGGTGCAGTGGGTGTGCTTGCTTTAGAGGATGCGGAAGCACAAAGCAGAAGCTGGGACGCATTTTGCACATAGGTTTTGACCGCGGGTCGATGTTATTGGACGGAGGCTGCGCCCGCGAGTACATCCGTGCTGCGATGGACCCCGAGCTCACAGCAAGTGAGGCGAGCTTTGTTTGGATGATGTTTAGATGCCTTTCTCAATTTCACCGTCTAAATGTCAGTCAAGCAGGCCGTTCGCCAGATCGCTCCAGGTGCTCTGCGTGTCAGTCCCGGTCAAGGGGCCGGGTTAGGGATATCAAGCATGGACGCCAGGCAACGAAGTCATCTTCGAATCGCTGAAGGAGCCGCCCACCTAGCAAGCAAGCTTCACAAAGTCTTGGATGGAGGTCGGGTCGGCGTGGGTCGGCGGTGACGGGGCTGCCCAGGTTTGTGCTGCAGCGTCACAACCTGGCCTGCGCCGCTGCAGCAAAGCAATCAGGTGCCGTGAAGGGTGCAGGTGTCGGAGCCAATGGTCGAAGCTTGCTTTTGGCCGAGGATCCAAGCCTGCTTTTGCTGCGCCTTGCAGGCATGGAGACGACGGGGCCGGGCCATGACAATGATGAAGGTAAGGCTGCACAGAACTTGAGGCCTGTGAAGGATCCAATGAGGTAGCTGGCACAAGGCCAACGTTGCCATGCCCAGCCCTCTAGCACACGGAACGGGTTTGCGATCATAGCCGGAGCCCTCCCATAGAAAGGAAACATTGACCGACCAGATGTTCCTCGGTTAAACGGCTACTAAGAGCTCCTTGCCCTCCTTTTGCCGGGAAAGCCAAAGATGCCTTCCTGGCTAGTGAGCTTTGATCTGTCCTATCTCTTCGAGAAACTATTCCCGAGCGGCGGCCAATGAGCCAATGTGAGGTTTAGTAAGCATCTCGTGCCGCATCATCAGGCACTAGCTTTCGGTGAACAAAAATGCATTCGTCTCTCAATGATGTGGATGTTAGTTTCTGGGCTCCTTGGTGGCAGCTGCGCCGGGGAGAGCGTTCATGTCCATTGCTGCCTGCCCAACGGCCCGAAATAGATGTGCGGGCAACCTGGCTGCGTGGGAGCAGCCAGCCCCTCAGAGACTCAGACCTGAGACAGGTTCGCGTCAAAGAAGCATTCAGCAAACAGTGCCGCCTCTCCGCAGAGGTGCCTTTGCTTGGGCAGACGGCACCATGCTTCCAGCACAGGGACTCGGCCACCGCTGTGTAGTAGTAGTAGACTGTACAGTAGTGCTGACTGAGTTCAGAGTTGAGCGTTCCGCTGAGTTGATCGTTGGCCTGGCACTGGTGCTCCTACTGAACTGCTCATGGATCGTGGCCGTTCTCATCGTAGCATCTCGGCATGGTGCAGAGCAAGGCCATTCTCTCTGTTCCTAAGTGGGACGCTGCAAGAACTCCCATATCGATGGTTCGGGTTGCCAATGTCCGCGCAGCAGTCCAGTGCGCGTTAACCGCATGTGGGAGTGTGCCCGCTGAAGCGATCCCAGCAGAAAGTGTCCCGGTGAGGTTGCACTGCTCCTGTTTTTCGTGATAAATTTAATCATGCGACAGGACAGCGTCACGCTTTCAGAAGTCGAAATGCTCGTTTGGCCCCCTGCATGTGCAGGAGTCCATGCTGTATGTGCCCTGTGTTATGCCTGGCATGCAGACACCAAGCCACTTGGATGTACTTGGACGTCGCCTTCCGTCACAGCTTGGGGCCAAATCAGATCTGAGTGCTTCGAGGTGATAACCCAGAAGGCATGCGCAGCCCTGTGCAAAGCTCAATCTTTCGATGCGTTGTTCGCTCAAGAGCGGCTACATCTATCCAAAATGCTCCAAGATTGTCCTTGTATCTTGGTGTTTGCTCCGATTGCCCGAGGCTGACCGGCAGATGAAGTTTGAAGATGTTATGGCCCAAGACGGACGAAGCCAACAATCCTGTGCTGGATTGGTCAGCTTGGCGAGGTCTTCATGGAGACGGTGGACGGCTTGCAGTTGCCTCATGGGTCAAAGCTCGTGCATCGATTCCGCAGATCACTGTCCCCAGGCGAATTCATGCTTGGTTCTTGCCAGCAGGGGATGCTTCAGCACGCGCCCCAGGCAGTGTTGTCGGAGAGACAGAGGGGGCGGAGACGTGGTCAAAAAACGAGGGCCACATTATTTCCACAATAGGCAACAAACAGCATCTCAAAAGTCTGAAACAGCAGAGCCCCATTCACCAAACGGGACAGCCACAGGCCACAAACACGAAGGTCACGAGCCTCAGGCAAACCCGTTTGCATGCGCACACTTCACCACTTAGGCGTTTGCTGAAGTTGAATCTTGCGTTCCCTGAATGCGGCTGTTTCCATTGTGGTAAGGAATCTTGCGTTAAAAAAACTATCAAAGCTGGCTTGCGAATTCAAGTACAAAACAGTACAAACCTACCAAAGTCTGTGTGTATGTATATATACACGGACGTATATTTTTCAATGTATATATATATATATGTGTACGTGTGCGTGTTTTTGTTTGTTTACTCAGTTAAGCTGAATCAGAAATGTCTATGTTCATGAATTTAGTTCTCCTGACTAGTTCCTTCTACTCAAAGCATTCAACTCATTAGTTTAGTTTGGTTAGTGCAGATGCTTTAAAATGTAGTGCCTACAAAACATACCTAGTTACTGCTCGCGAAGACACTCTGGTCTCTGATCTGGATTTTAGTATGGTTAGATGCCTATACTGGATCGATGTGGTTTATTAGCCCGCAAGCCCAGAAGGTAACCCAATCGCTGTGTGCCCTGCGGACTCAGCAAAATTCACATAGCTGATGCTTACCAGGCTATAGTTCTGTAAGCTGCTTTTGGAACACGAAACGCGAGGGCACGCTTGCAATGAGCATGTGAATATGTGATCGTTTTATATGCCGTATTTGAGACACGAAACGCATCGAAACGCCAAGAGATCATCACCAACCATGACAAATGCATGGCCACAATACATCTGTAGTATACATGTGTGTGTTTCTGCTACGTGTTTCTTTCTCGCATGTGGGCTTGCTTTGTATAGTAGAATACAGCGGCTTTGGCCATGCCTTCACCCAGATCCTCATTGGATCGGCCTTCAGCCCTCTTCCGCTCCAAAACAAGACAAGGGCGCGCTTCTTCTGTCTTTTAGGGTTTAGGGTTCTTTTGTGTTCAAGTTCTAGGGTTCCAAAGTTTCAAGGTGGTGAAATGGACACCTGCCGGAGGCGGATTGGGATGCCTCGACGACTCACACCGACACCAGCCATCGGCATACTCAGCCAGTAGCCGATCTAGGTGGAACAACGCAACAACAAAGAGGAGGATGAGTTTTTTTGGCGCAATCGTTAGCTTCTTTCTTGGGGGCGCGGGGTGGGGCGGCGGTGGGGGAGGGGTGGGGGTGGGTTGGGCGCGAAGGGTGAGTTCCCTGTGTTGGTGAATGTGTTTTCGCCTTCATGCTTGTTGAGTTGCGAATTTCTTCGTGCGGCCCGAAGAAGACTCAGAGAAACATGTGCGCAGAGCTCGCAGCTGCTTGAAAAACAAGGTGGCCAAGTTGTGAGGAGGGGTCCTTCTTGACAATGTGTTTGCAATGCCTTCGCCGGGTGGGTGGAGTGGGGGGAACGTGGAGGCTTTTCCTCCGCATGTTTCCCTGTCGCTTTGTCTCTTTGAAGGTTCTCTTAGAGCGTGGGGACCCCAAAGTGGAGCCCCCATACAGTGGATTTCTATCTCCTTCCAATCCCAGTCGCCCCCCACCTCGGCCTTTCAGCAATTCAAAGACCGAGGCAACCCGGTCTTCACCGACTCTGCTCTTCTGCCACGCAAATGCCGGGACACACTTTTTTGGGAAAGGTTGCCAATGCAGCCCGTGTCGATGCTGTCGCATGGCGCAGGAATATTGGCCTTCGCATACCAAATTTCGAGCATGTCATCAAGAGACTTCGGGTGAATGTGGCGCGCTGAGGTGGACTGGGCTCGTGAAATGGGGTCTTTCCGAAACATTCCCGGAAAGCTGGCAGCTGATGAGGTCTTTGCTCTTGATTATCGGGGATATGGTCAGAGTGAAGGCGTGCGACTTCAGACTACACGACTCTGGCACTACGCAGTTCTTCCAAAAAAAGCCTGATCATGTGACATTGGCCAGGAACTCCTTCGGAGGAGGGTCTCATCGAGGCGTCCCGTGCTGGGTGCCTGTCGTGCTACTTGGACGTATCAGAATTTGTTCAGGATGCATTGTGTGCGTGGAGATGGTTGAAGAAGGTGCGGCACATGCGTGGATGCATGCTGGTGCTAAGCGTTTGGGTCTTTTGGGCCAAGCCCAGTTGCAGGAGTCTGATGTTGGGCGCCTGAGCCTCGAAAGCACCCTCGAAAGGTTAGTTCTAGTCATTGATCGCTTAGACTGCGCATGGCTGTGCGCATGTCCTAAGGCATAGACGCGGATCAGCTCTTTGTGTTCGGCCGATCTCTCGGTGGAGCCTGGCACTTAGACCTTGGGGGCCAACATCTTCCGGCAGAGGCATTGGAAGAGATACGTCCACACTTGAAGTTGACATGCAAGGCAGTTACCATAGCACTTGCTTCTGAACTCCAAAAGCGTGCGCAGGGGTCAGGGCCTGAAGCCGTGCAATCTGGAATGTTCCGAATCCCCATGATCCTTATCACCACACAACCATCATACCGAAGGCCGCTCCCGAGAGGGCTCATATTAGAGAACACGTCCTGACCTCATCTCAACTTGGTGTTTTGCGGGTTCTCGGCAAGCTTGCTGGCTGAGCAGAACACGTTGGGACAATCCAGGTTCACATCTATTAGTGACGTGGCCGGTTCCTGAGTGAGGCTGCCAGGTGATGCCAAGTCCACATGTGCATCTCTGGACAATCGGCGTTGCCTGAATGCACCGTGTGTGAATGATAAGGTTAATGCGCTATTCCCCATTCTTGCATTCGAAGCTTTGTTGCACAGAGCGAGCGGCGTCATGGTCAAAGGCAAGTAGACGTAAGCCTAAGCGTGTGCACGGGAGTCTGCATCGCGGATGCTATTGTCAGGAAAGCCTGAAGAAGCGCTTCCTTCGAATAAAATGGGTCTCTCACTTGCATTGCTCAAGATCATCCCGGTCGTGCAGCGGTGAATCAGCAGAAGAATACTAGAAGAATCGAGTGCAAAGGAAAGCATTCAGAGAGTGCAGGACCTCGAGGCTTCGCTTTGTAGGTATTGCGGTTTGCAGACCTGACAGTTTATGTGGAAATTCACTAAGTGGTGACGACAGGTACCAATGTTGTTCCTCACGGGTGAGAAGGTGCATCGTGTCGGATTGTTGCGACAAGACGTAAGAGTAAACGAGGGGGGGGAAGGATGAGATGATTCCACCATCGCACTCTCGACTGCTTCATGCTCGTGCCGAAAAATCGAGGCCCTTTTCCAGGGGTCGAGCTCCGGTGTTCTCTCGCACTTCTAGTGTCTGTGATAGAATCTGAGTCTGAACCAGGCTGAAGCGGAATGTGGTTGTCAACTCAGATGGAATTCGGGGCCATTAGGATCCAAAACTGTCCAGGAAACCCTACGAGGAAACCAGTATCAACAAGTTTGAGACCTTCTGCTGAGGTGTTTGCAGAAGGCCACCACAACGACACCTGGGAGAAAGGTGGCGAAGAGTGACCCCGGGGCATCCATGTTGGCCTGCCATATGGGCGTTCAGCTGTTGCAACTTTGGACAGCAGTCGAGTCCCTTGTGAACAAACTGTTGCAACTTCTCCAGAGGTACTGGGAGGTGCAGGCAACCTTCTTGCAGGCAGGCCCCGGTTGGGGAATCCTTGTATGGACAGTGCCGCTGGCGGACGTGATGCTATGTTGACTGCAGGAGTGCCTCGCACAGCCTGCAGGCTCAAAGAAGGCAGGGGATTTGTTCTGGGTTGATGAGCTTCGTCTTCCGTGTGCTATGTGTGCTCCAAGCAGGGCAGACTGTACGGGTGCTTTGCAGGTAAGTTCGCAGCCAACCGAACAGGCTCCATCAGTCTCAATGTTGTCAGTTCACTTGGATGCTAAAGCAAGGCACTTCATGTGAACAGTGGCTCCGAAAATTCCCAGTATTGAAGCTGATCAAAGCTGTTCGAGGTGGCGGAGGGCACCAACATGATGCCTGTCTCCTAAGCGATGGTGTGGAATGCTTCCGCGAGATTGTGCCGCGGCCGTGATCGGTTTGACCACTCGAAGTCTTGCCATGTCTTGCACTGACCCTGAAACCATCTTCACATGGATCCCTCAACCCTCGAAGAGCAGCTGTCTTGCAAGACCATTGGCAAGCCTGCAGCCACTGCGCTGCCGCTTCCGGGATTTGTCACGGCATTGGCCTGGGAAGTGCCACAGATAAGAAGAGGCTCAAGAACCTGTTCTTGGAATATGTGCACTTCACTCTGCTGCGCTTCAAAGAGGCTCCATTCATGGCTTGCTGCAGCACCTGTCCCAGAACACCCGGGATCGGTTGAGAGTGGAGGCAAAGCCGACACAAGCTCGACGAGAGAGTGCAGCGTGTCGAAAAAGAGTGCGGTCAGCTGTCAGGACGACATGCGCGAAACATGCTCCGATGAGAAGTTGGCCCGAGCTGAGGCATCTATGGTAGCCGGCAGAACCGCGGCAGGAGCAGATTTGAGGGACAGCTCACTGCTAGGTTGAGCTCGCACTGCCTTGTTTTGACTATCAATTCTAAGCAGATTCGACTAGAGCAGTAGGGATAAGTGTGTCCCAGTGGCGCGTGCGGATGCTGCCGAGTCTCTGCCATGTGCGGCAAGAGCTATGGGGACCGGCGTCGGCCGTTGCTTGACGTCGGTCCTGCTCCTGGGTCCGGTGACTGGATTGATTGGAGCTGAACCATGGCAATCACCACATGTTTTAACGAAGCTTTGGGACAAGCAGACCCTGGCGTCCTTTTCAGTCTCGCAGCTGCAAGCCTTTGCCGCGCTGGCATGCGGTCACTGTCCCCTGCTCTCGCGCGCTGTGCGCTGCACACGCCGAAGTGCTCCCAACTGCCCAAGTGGTCCCAAGCCACCAGAGTCCTGGAAACACCAGGCGTTCGCCTATTTGAGGGAGGAAGCCGCTTTGTCCCAGAGACAAGTACGAGCTATGATGAGGCATGTTTGGTCTAACTACGAGCAACGTGCCTTTGGCAAAGACGAGCTCAAACCTATTTCAGGCCGTGGAACTGACAGCTGGGGTGGTCTGGGGCAAACATTGGTGGATTCACTGGACACTCTGTGGCTCATGGGGTTTCACGAGGAGTTTAACCGAGCAGCCGATTGGGTAGAAAGCCACCTGGACTTTAACAAGAACTTGAATGTCAACTATTTCGAGACGTCGATTCGCCATTTGGGCGGTCTCGTCTCAGCCTTTGTCCTCAGCAGCCGTCCCGGCCTCCTTGGAAAGGCCACGGATCTGGCCGGGAGGCTTGCTCCCATTTTTCCGAGTCCTCGAAGCGACATGAGCCGAATGGACATCTCCCTCTCCGAGTTGACTTCAGCGGGGAAGCTGCAGGAGTGGTTCGATGGAGCCAAGCGGTTCCTGCACCAAGTCTTCGCCGACATCGCTGAGGAGTTCTCTTTTGGAGAGTATGCAGACTTTGATCTAGGTAATCTAGGTCTGGGAGCGGAAGATCCGTCGGGACACTTCGCCAACGACGACAAGAATGCAAGGAAGGATCTCACAGTCCTTCCTCTGTCTGACATAAACTTGCAAACCGGCAAGGCGAACGACCTTGCGGGGTACCTGTCATTGGCTGAATCTTGCATGGCC